GGTGTGGGGGACACAGACACGTTGGTTGGTCCCAGCCCCAGGAAGTCCGGCTCCTCTGAGACGCACTGGGAACACGAAGACAATGAAGTGCATCAGGGACTTTTCTAGAGATTTGCTCCGGTCTCTATCTTCAAGAGTTAGAGCTTCCTATTCCACTCTCCTCGTCAGCTAGGTGGCGCCACAGTGCACAGCAGTGTGGACCTAGTCTTAGTAATAATTGAGTCAAAATCTCGTCTGACACTTACTAGTGAGAGAAATTATTTCACTCCTATTAATAACCAATTTTTCAATTAGTTTCCTATCTCCTCATTCAGAAACCCATTCCTTGCACGTTATTCAGTCCGCCTCTGAAGGCCATTGCTAATGGATGAGATTGCCCAAATCCTCAGGGTACAAGCTTTTCCTTCATGGGTGGGACCCCACTCAACTAGAAGACGTTACAAAAAGAATCTTATGTAGCTGTTATTCTTACCTCGCCACTGTTCATTGTTCACTGACCGGGAGAGACCGTTACCTTTGTCCAGATAGCTGGAGGCGGCTGAACCTCATCACACCCTCAGCAGGTGGAGCTGAAGGCTTTTGGCTCATTTCCATGGCCACCCCCTCATTGATAATGTTATCCAATCAGTGTTGATTTCCACCCTCAGGCATGCCCTCTCTTTCCAAAGACTTTTGAAGCATTCCATGCTCTCCTGGGGGCATCTTTGGCTTCCAGCCAGGGCAGTGACCTCAATCTATTATTTGCTAGTCATAGTTAATAAATTAGTTATTAATTACCCAGAAATTATGTCTTTTGAACTTTTCATTAGTCGCATTAGCTGTGTGACCCTGGACAAGTCACTTAACACCTCTCTCCCTCAGGTTCCTCAACTGTAAAATGAGGCCAATAACAGCACCAAGCTCACAGGGTTCTACAGAGGATCAAAAGAAGTAACATTTGTAAAGCATTTAACACTCTGCTTGGCACATAGTAGGCCTTTAGAAAAGCCTGTTTCATTTCCCTTTTTCCCTCTTTCTCCTGTCATGATGTGACAGTGAGATACAGAAATAAGTCTGGAGAAGAGCAGGGGGGCACCTACCTCTTCTTTCTTCTCTGACCACGTGGATGTGCTGGTCATCACCTTTAACTCACCCTTCATTCTTCTCTCTCTTCTGCTTTTTCTCTAGTATATGGGGGGTTGATTTTCTTCTACAACCTATGCTGACAGGCCTAAGGGTGGGCTGAACCACTTAATTCGATGCAACAGAGATTTATTTATTAATTTAATGTATGTAAGCAAGAATTTGTTTGTTTACTCTTTCATTAATTAATAAATTCATTCATCAATTTATTTCTTTATATTTTGAAATTTCTATTAATAACTTTTCCATTTACCTAACTTTTGTTGTTCTATATATTGTCTTCCAAGCAGAGTCATTTTTTTAAAATCAAAGAATTAAGAAGGGAAAAAATATTTCAGCACAACTAAGCGTCATACGAACTAAGTATGCCATACAGTTATTTATGGAGTATACTACACAGGGTTCCACATCCACAGACCTGTGGAAAGGAGGGACGGAAGGGCAGTTGTCTCTTTATCAGTTTTCTGCTCATTACATACCATTTTGATATACTGGGCCCAGGATAACTTTCACCACTGGGCTTGGTGCTGGGAATACAAAGACAGTGAAACTGCCCCTACCTTGAGGTGGCTGATATTCTACCGAGAGTGGGCAGAGGGGAGGAGGCTACAGCATCAGGTCCTCACCTCATGCCAAAGCAGGTAGTAGACCATTACAGAGCATGATTAACTGTAGGTGGCTGGATTGTTGGTTGCTATGGCTTCAGCTTGTCTTTCTTGACAAATGATATGCTCAAGGGACAAATGCTCATGAAAGGATGGCTCTGTTCATCCAGACTGAGAACAGGAGAAAATCAAGGAGATATGGGGTCCACTCCCTCTGAGCCAGAGCCTGGGCCTGGAGGATTGGGAACAAGAACTTTCACACCCTGGGGCTGTAGGGGCTTCTGAAGCACTCAAAACAAAACTCTCCCTTTGTCCCGGGGGCCATGTTATAAGTTATCTGAAGGTTGGGGGCTGCTCTTGCCTCTCAAGGAAAAAGAAAACATCAGAACACAGCAGCAGAAACTTTTGTGACTCCTCATACCCACACTGACCAGTTTTCTAGCTGTTCACACTAATGGAATCAATGTAAATGGATAAAGAAAAGGTTAAACTCACAGAGGAATCTTTAGCAGATCCAAGGATGGCAAAGAATTACAAGGAAAGGCCCCAGATTAAGACCTTCCCTTTTTCTCTTTGGTGAGGCAATTGGGGGTTATGTGTCTGAGGTCAGATTTGAACTCAGGTTCTCCTGAATCCAGGGCCAGTGCTCTATCCACTGCACCACCTAGCTGCCTTCCCTTCCCTTTTACTCTCCAGCTCCCTGCTGACTGCTGTGCCTGGTCCTGCTGCTGATGCCTGTACCTGTCCTTCTCAGGAATCTCCTGGTCAGACACTGGGGCCTGAGGGATGGGACACGGGCAGGATTCAGGACAGTTCCTCTCTTACCCTTATATTGCCCTCCCTCTTCTCCCAATTATATAAGCATAGGAGCAGAGACTTTTTATTTGCTTTCAGGTTTCATGGGTGTGGATTTGCCAAACTTTGGCCTCAGAAGATGAACTTCACAAAGACTTCAAGTCCAGATAAACCTTCCTAAATAGTGTGTCTCTGGTAAAGACTTCAATTCTCTCCAATCACCTGTCTGCCTACAAGGGCATTAGGGCAATTACTATTGGATTAGTGCGGCCCATTATCCCCCATTCACTGGTCTTTGCCATCATCCTTGGGTACTTATCAGTCATAATTCCTGCAATTTAAGGAAGAAATGTCACCTGTGGGCCACCTGGTTCATTACCTCCATTCCTAGCTCTCACAAAACTTTTCAGAAAGTGAAGGTGTATTTTCTCCTGTTGACTCAGCTTTCCACGGAAAATTGAGAAGAACCTCAGACATCCCTAGATTCCTGGTGGGTATGGGGATGAGGCTTCGATTGGTAGGAATCCTGATTTTAAGGTGCTTATAGGGAAAAAAGTATATACATGCACACACACATACCTACCTATATACTTATTCATTCACAAAATATACAATACTATATATATATGAATACAGATATACATTCAATATAATATATATTCATACACACTTACATGCATACATACATTTCTACTTATATCAGGTGGAGCTGAAGGCTTTTGGCCCATTTCCATGGCCTGGGATTCGTGAATAAATTTTGGGGTTCTATGAACTTTAATGGGGAAAAATATCTTTGTTTTCAATAACCCCTAACAGAATTTGAGTATTTCCTTCAATTATAAGAAAATTATTCTGAAAAGAGGAGTCCATAGACAACTGAAAATACTAATGATACAGATGTACATGTATGTTCACATATAAGCATGTATCTCTACACATGGCCATGTACAACTACAGAAGTATTATTTACACAGACGCACACACACAGGTATGTATACAGGCATGCATTCCTGAATATACACACCCACATACTACGCACTTGCCTCTATCACCGTCTCTCTTTCAGGCTTGGTCAGTCATAGCCAACCATAGAAGCTGCCCCTTGTCCTCTCCCTCTCTTTAGGGCCTCTCTCCTCGTTCTCCTGTCCTGATCTTTCCACCATCTTTAAGGAAGGGTCCCCAGTGACAGAGAGCTAGGCTAATAAAGTCTGCTATTGGCTCGGTCCCTCAGTCATGTGGTGATCAATCACACTGGATTCCTGGGAAACCTGCTTGCCAGGTGCGTCATGATATAGTGAAGAGAGTGGTGTCCTTGGTCCTAGAAGAGATGTGGGTTTGAATCATGCCCCAGCACTGCATTTCTGTGTGCCTTTGGCAAGTCACTTTCCTTGTCTTAGCCTCAGTTTGCTCTTCAGTCAAATGGAGGTCCATCTATCAAGAAACATTTTGTAAAGCACCTACTAAGAGTCAGGAACTCTGCTAGTTGCTGGGGATAAAGAGACAACACAGAAAGCATTTTCTACTCTCAAAGAACCTACCCAAGAGTCAAGAGTAGATGTTTAAAACTATGTATATAAACATGGCCCAGAGGTGGCATGGATAGATATGGTCTGAAGTCAAGTCCACATCTACAGAGAGTAGGAGATGGACCATCCTCAGACTGCCTGCCAAGCTAGCTGGAGGTGTGGGGAAGACAGGCAGTTTCTAAGTCCTTAGAGACTGGCAAGTTTCTCCTTCAGCCTCAGAAAATGAGTATTGATGAAATTACTTCTACTGTTAGCTTCTGAGTCAGAATGGACTACACATTCGAAGGGCCCATTGCAGGGGAGGAGACAGAGACAGAGAGACAGAGAGAGAGGGAGAGGGAGAGGGAGGGAGAGAGAGAGAGAGTGAGAGAGACAGAGACAGAGACAGAGAGAGAGAGAGACAAACAGAGACAGACAGAGACAGACAGAGAGAGACAGAGACAGACACATACATACACAGAGACAGAACGAGAGACAGAGACAGAGATAGAGAGACAGAAAATCAAGTGCTCTCTCTGGCCTGAATTGTACCACTGTCTGTGCTCTAAGGAATGGGCCCATTTTAAAATATGTAAAGTGCACATTTAGGGCAAGTGCTTCTTCCTAGTTACAATTATTACTTGCTAAAAATGTTTTACAACTCTTTACCCAACTGCTCTTCAGAAACTCTCTGTAAAATGGGGATCATGAAGCACCCACCTCCCAGGGATATTGTGAGGATTAAATGAGACATTTGTGAAGTGCTTGGTACACTGCCTGGCATATAGTAGGTGCTTAATAAATGCTTCTTCATCACTTAAGAGTTCAAACCGTAGGCACCAACATAAGGAGTGTGTGTGTGTGTATGTGTGTGTGAGAAATCACTTCTTAAGGAGGTGGGAAGGTGCTGCCTCTGTTTTTGGGCAGGGGGCTCATTTCATGGGCTCAGTGTCTGAGCATCTTGTTCTTAGCCTCAGGGTGACATCTCTAGGGTGCTGGTGTGGGGAGGGTCCCTTGAGTCACCCTCCCACTCTTGCTCATCCCCCAGGGCCCTCTGCAAGACCACCCTGAGGAGCTCCTTCCTCCTTTTATGCCTTTGGCTGCCCAGGAAGAAGTAAATGAAGGGGTTCATGCTGCTGTTCACACAGGCCAGGATCATAGGAAGCCAAAGAGGCTTGAACACTGTGCCAAAGAGCAGCATGATAATTTCAATCCCAGGGGCCAGACCACAGAGCAGAAACACGAGGACCGTGAGCAGGACCAGGAGGTAGAGCCTGGGGGCTGCTGGCGCTGGGAACTACACTGGACCCTCAGCAGCAGAGTCAGGCTGGATGTGCACAGCACACACGTGAGGAGGAAGAACCAAATGACCAGGACTCTGGGGACTGCATCACACAGATTGGCATTATACCAAGAAAGACAAAAGAGAAAATGTGATAGCCACAGAAGACTGGCCAGAGCCCAGAGGACAGCACACACCACAGCAGATGTGTGCTTGGAGCGGTGACATCTGTACCAGATGGGGAAGAGCACGGCTAGACAATGCTCAGTGCTGACCGCGGCCAGGAAGCTCAGGCCCACAGTGTAGGATATGGATGTGACATAAAGCAGGCCCATGACCAAAAGTCTCAGATACCCAAGGAATCCGTGGATGGAGAGCACAAACTGTCCACAAAGGAAGAGGGCATTGGCCCCGGCCAGGTTGAGGATGTAGACGGAGAAGGGGTTCCTGGGGATGCGGAAGCCCAGGAACCACAGGACAAGGCTGTTCCCCACCAGCCCAACACTGACTATGACCAGAGAAAGTATTCGCACCCACTCAACTAAATCAAATTCTCCAGGTACCTCAGTCCCAAAAAAATCTCTTCTCATTTTGGATTGTCTCATTTGCATTGTCATCAACATATTTCCACAGCCCAGGTGCAGGGGACACAGCCATGGTGGTTGATCCCAGCCACAGGAAGCCTGGCTCCTCTCAGATGCTCTGGGGACACGAAACCAAAGAAGGGCATCAGCGACTTCTCTAGAGATTTACTCCCCTCTCTGATGTCAAGAGTTAGAGCTTCATCCACCCCATTTCCTCTCTAGGCTGCAGTTAGATGAGCCCTGAACCTAGAGTAAGAAATGAGTTTAAATCTAGTCTCAAACACTAGCTGTGTGACCTTGGACAAGTCACCTACCTTCTGTCTGCCTCAGATTCCTCAGCTGTAAAATGACCACTAACACGTTTTTGTTATTCTGTTGTTTTTTAACTTGTGTTGACTGTTCTTGAGCTCATTTGGGATTTTCTAGGCAAAGACACTGGAGTGGCTTGCCATTTACTTCTCCAGCTAATTTTACAGATGAAAAATTGAGGTAAACTAGTGAAGTGACTTGCCCAGGGTCACACAGCTAGTGTCTGAGGCCAGATTTGAACTCAAAAAGATGTATCTTCCTGACTCCAGGCCTAGCACTCTACCCACATCACCACCTACCTGTGCCAACTATGTGCCCACTTCATAGTAGGTGCTTAATAAATTCTTGTTCTGTTCTCCTCCTTCATCCTTTCTTCTGTCATGGTGTGAGCGTGGGGCATAGAGATGGTCCTCTTAGAGATGTCAGAGGGCACACTTGCCTCTCCTTTCTTCTCTGACCACACTGCAACCCACCTTTCCTTTTCCTCTCTCTTCCACTCTTTCTTCACACTGTAGAAGGGTATATGGAGCTAGGCTACCTTCTACAACCCATGTGGCAGGCCTAAAGGTGGGGTGAACCATTTAATTCAATGCCACAGACATACATTTAAAAATTTATGTATGTATGTATGTATGCATGCATTTATTTCACAAATGTGTTTATTAATTCATAAATTCATTAAATCATTTATTTATTAATATCTAAAAATTTCTATCAATAAATTTTTCTTTCGCATTATTTTTATTGTTCAACTTACCGTCCCCCAACCAGAGTCAATTTTTTAAACCAAAGAATAAAACAAAAAAAGAGAAAAAAGTCCTTTACCACAACTAACCATCATATGAACTAAGTCCAACAGTGTACTACATAGTGTATGACATCCATAGTCACTCACCTCTGGGAAGGAGGGAAGGAAGTGCAAGAAGCTCTTTATTGGTTTTCTGTGCCAAACTGCTATATACTCTTGCTTAACAATTACTGTTTCAGGATACTGGGCCCAGATAAATTTGCACCCCTGGGCTTGGGGCTGGGAATACAGAGACAATGAAACCGCCCCTGCCCTGAAGTAGCTGATGTTCTACTGAGGGTGGGCAGAGGGGAGGAGCATGCAGCAGCAGGTGCTCACCTCTGCCAAACCAGGTAATTGACCAGCACAGAACATGGCCAACTGCAGGTGTCAGGACTGCTGATTACTATACCTCCAGCTCCTCTTTATTGACAAATGATGTGCTTTAGTGACAACTGTCTGTGAAAGGGTGGGTCTGTTCATCCAGACTGAGAATAGGAGAAAATCAAGGCATTATGGGGTCCACGCCCCCTGAGCCAGAGCCTGGGGCTGGAGGATAGGGAACAAGAACTTTCACATCCCCGGGCTATAGAGGATTCTGAAGCACTTCAAACAAAACTCTCCCTCCCTGCTGGGGGCCATATGAAAAAGTGTCTGAAGGTTGGGGGCTGCTCCTTGCCTCCAAGGGAAAAAGAAAGCATCAGAAAACAGCAGCAGAGACTTCTGTGGCCCACTATTTCCCAAACTGACCAGTTTTCCAGCTGTGCACATTGAAGCCATCAATGTAAATGTATGAAGAAAGAATTAAACTCACACAGAAATCTTGAGTAGATCCAAGGATGACAAAGAATTACCAGGCCCCAGATGGAGAACTTTCCTTTGTCCTCTCCAAGTTCCTGATGACTGCTGTGCCTGGTCCTGCTGCTGATACTTGTACCTGTCCTTCTCAGGAATCTCCTGGCCAGACACTGGGGCCCAAGGGGTGGGATAGGGGCAGGATTCAGTACAGTTCCTCTCTTACCCTTATATTGCCCTCCCTCTTCTCCGAATTACATGGGCCCAGGAAAAGAGATTTTCCATTTGCTTTCAGGCACCAAAGGTGAGGATTTCCTAAATACTGGCCTCAGGAGATGAATTCCCCAAAACCTTCAAGTCCAGCAAAGCTTCCTAAATGGTGTTTCTTTGGTAAAGACTTTGATGCTCTCTAACCACCAGCCAGTACATAAGGGCATTAGAGAAATTATTGTTGGATTGGTCTGATCCATTATCTACAATCTACTGGTCTTTCCATTTTCTTTGCATAGTTATCAGTCATGGTTCCTGCAACTTAGAGAAGAAATATCCCCTGTGGGCCCCCTGGCTCATTAGCTCACTTTCTAGCTCTTGAAGAACTTTTCTGAAAGTGAAATTGGGCATTCTCCTGTTGGCTCAGCTGTCTGTGGAAATCCAAGAGCCTCAAATTTCCCTAGAATACAGGTGGGTATTGGTGTGAGGCTTGGACGGGCAGGAGCCCTGGATTTTAAGGTTGTAATGAGGAAGAAAAGTATATACACTTACGAAGACATACACACACACACACGTATATATGTATACATACATGTACACTTATTTATTCACAAAATGGACAATACAGTATGCAAATATGAACATATAGGAATTCACACATATATATGTATACAATATAATATACATATTCATTCCCACTTACATGCATACATATATTTCTATTTGTGCCAGGCACTCTTAACCTAGGGTCCATGAATAGTTTGAGGATGTTCTATGAACTTGGAGGGAGGGAAATTATCCTTATTTTAACTGCCTAATTGAATTTCAGTATTTCTTTCAATTATTAAGAAATTATTCTTAAGAGGAGAAGTCCATAGGCATCATTAGCTCACAGAAAATATTCATAACGCAAATATTCACATGTACATTTATAGGTAAACATGTTTATGTACACTTATCCACACAACACTAGTAATATTGTTTATAAACATGCCACACATGTGTACACACATATGTATTGCTGAATATATGTATTCATGTATGTATCACAATCTCTCTTGCAGGCGAACAGAGATAATGATTCTGGGTCAGTCATAACCAACAGCACACACTGCCTCTGGTCCTCTCACTCTCTGTAGGGTCTCAGGTCTTGTCCTTATCTTTCCTTCCTTCACAACATCATCTTTAGGCAGGGATCCCCAGTGACAGAGAGATGGGGTGACTGTTTCTCAGTCATTTGGGATTCATAGGACTGTATTCATGGGAAATACACTTACAAGGCACATCATGATATAATTCATATAGCGGTATGCTTAATCCCAGAAGAGGATTGGGCTTGCCCCGACACTGCATTTCTCAATGATTATAGAAAAGTCACTCTCCTTGCCTTAGCCTCACTTTACTCTGCAGTCAAATGGAAGTCCATCAAGCAGTAGGATTTTGTGCAGCACCTACTAGGAGCCAGGAACTCTGCTTGTTGCTGGGGATAAAGAGAGAAAACATGAAGCAATTTTTCTCCTCAAAGAGTTTAGAGGTAATGAAAACATGTATATAGGTATGTTTAGAATGATGCATACATAGGCTATAAATATGTGTGAGTTGTGTAAATATATAGACATGGCTGACAGGTGGCATGGATAGATATGATCTGAGGTTAAGTCCACATCTGCAGAGAGCAGGAGATGGGCCATCCTCACACTGCCTGTGTACAACAAAGACCAATAGTGAATATCAGGTAAGTCATTTGTCTCAGCAAAAGCCAACAGAAATCAGAGAAGTTCTACAGATCAGAATGCAGCAAGGAATGGCCTAGAGTCAGTGATCTTTTCTATTCAGAGAGAGATTGGGTCTCAGTTCCAATCAGGGGATAGAGTTTGCTCACCTAGGGGAAATATACTCTTAGTAGTCTCTAGGGCTATAAGGCTTGGAATTCAAGAAACACGATGGGCCAGGTTTTCATACCAGTTTCTAGCTAGAAGGGCCTCAGTGTGCCCTTCAATCTCTATCTTTAACTACCATCCTGGAGGTCTCTATTGACCTGTTTCCAATCATCTCATGTTAGTCTCTCATGATAAGTATGAAATATCATGGCCAGCATTCTCTCATCAATTGAGGGCCAAGTGTTTCTTTGAATATGCTACACACAGCACACAACATAGGCCTGTCTTTTGGAGGGACCATTTAAGAGGGTTTTATGTTGAAACTAGATACAAGACAATATTAGGGTGGAAGGCAGTAAGAATTGGAGGATAACTCAGGCAGCCAGGGTTTGCTTGAACTGAGCCTTGAAGGACATGAGAGATTCTGAGGCATGGACCTGGGGAGAGAGTGCATTCCAGGCCTTGGGGAGGGCACCATGAATGCACGGGTGAGAGTGCTAGACATGATAAGAACCAACAGGAAGTAATCCTGGCCATGAGTATAGAGAGGAGAGGTGATTGATAAAGCTTGTTCTGTCTTTGTTAGGAATAGCTATTAATCCCAAACACAGAAGTTCCTATTGGATCCTGGTCACGAAAGGGAACCATTGGAGTTAATTGAAATTTGAGCGTGATGTGTGCAGATCTGTTTTATAGAAAAACACATTTGGGTGCTGAAGGCCTGACCTCTGATTGTGACTGTTTGAAGACAGAGAGATGGGATATAAATTAGTGATGTTGTGGAGGTAGGAACAACAAGACTTGGAAATAGTTTGAATATACAGAGTAAGTGAGATTGAAGAGTCCAAGATGGCCCCAGAGTTTTCTGTCTGGTCTTTCCCAATCCAGGCCTGCTGCCTCATGCTGCATTTCTTCCTAATCCTTAGATACTTCTTGATTTCCTACCTCTATCTGTTGTTTTAGGAATGGCAGACTCAGAAGCAACAATTCCCTTGAGAGTTTCCTTTTCTCATACTTGTACCAAT